ATACCCTTGATAGAAAAATAAAATAAGCTTCCAGACCTTCTCTTCTCAACTCCAACCACCCCGGCCTTCTCCTTTCCTTTCCTTTTCTATCCTTCCTCCTTCCACTCACGCCAGCCACACCCAAAGCCAACTGCAGCTGTCCCAATCTTTTCCTTCCCAGTCAAGCTCCTGCAAGCACTCTCAGGCAGTCCCTGCTACATGAGCCTTTAAGGGAAAATACTCCATTGAGCCTCTTGGTTTTCTAAAAAATTCACTATACAAATAACTAGTGAAAAAGTTAAAGCTATAAAAATATAGATCTTGCTGATTTGCCTGTATAGGGCTACATAAATTATAATACCTGGAATGTGACTTTCCATTTAAAATCTTCAATTCTCTTCTATTTCAGATTTGTGTTCTACTTTCAAAACTCACAAATATTATGACATGCTGGCTGGGATGATGCATTGTAGAGTTTGATTGCTCTCAAATAACACAAAGCAAATAAACTATCCCCAAAAGCCAGTCAATCAGTCTGTCTATCAGTCTGTCTTTGCATTATCTTGTCTAGGAAACAGATTAAGCGAATAGCATGGGAAAAAAATACTTGTGGAAAAATGTTGATACATTTGTACTGAATCATTTTCTTACAAGGAAAACACTTGTAAAAGAATATAGGTATAGCAATTAATCCTGAAGAAATCTACCAGAGATTTATTTTCATGCAAATTAGTGTGAGTTCTCAAAAAGTTCCCTCTGAATTTAATTTTAACTGAAAACTTTAATATAAGAAAAGTTTTTTAAAAAAATGGTCTTTTAAGGAACTATGCATATTTACTCATTTATTATGCAATTTTGAGGCTCCCCAACTCCTTAACTCTTACAAATAAAAAGGAAAAAAAACAAGACATATAACAAGAATTCAGCCAGCTATAAAACCAAACTTAACTAAAGGGGCCACTTTGAATGAAGGCCTGGAAAGACAACTAGGTTTAGAGCTGAACATCCTAAAGGTAGGAGCCATATGAACCTCTGGGAGATATTAAGCCAGTGGGCAGATGGTGCAACTGAAAAGAGATATCCCGGATCTCATAAGATGAGATTGCCTAATTGATTAGACCTGAGCACATCCACCCTTCTTGATTGTATCAGATGGTCACAAAATAATTGGAGATAATATTCCCTCAGAGACATAGGTCCAAAGCCCTGAAGAGCTTCTTGAATTGCATCCAGAAGCCAACTGGTAACCAGTGCAGCTCCCAAAGCAGTGGGGTCATATGACCATAACACAATATCCCCATCACTGTCTGTACTTCCACATTCTGTATCAGCTGTACCTTTGGGTGGTCTCCAAGGCAATCCCATGCTTTATACTAATCCATTTTGTGAAGTGACCAGGGCATGAACAACTATCCGAGGGACCTCCAGATCCAGCAAAGGGCCTAACTGGTACATTAGATGTACCCCTGCAAAGGTTCACTCTCTATTCTCTTTGAGCTATGGTTATGTGGCCAAGTCTGCTTCTTCCTATTCAGTGACAATATCTTCAGGGATTTAAAGCAAAACATTTTTATAATGTTCTTCCATGGCAGAAAATACCACTGACAGGTTTTTGGCATCATCTTTTCCCAATTAAGTTACATTTGATGCAAGACATGCAAGATCCTAAAGATGCATTTCCAGAAAACAGCTAATTAAGAATTCTTACCATAATGATCAAAGTTGCTGGTCCTATAAAACTCCAAATGAAATAGGTGTCAAGTCGAAGCCAACATCTGTAATGATAATGCAAGAAAAATGGTGTTCAGGGATAGCACATGAAATAGATATCAGGAGTAAGTGAATAACAGAGAGAAATGAGAATTGTATAATATTGCATTAAGAGGCATGAGATGCTACAGTGCTTCTTCAGTGAAATTGGATCATATGGTTTATGTTTGGTAATGTTATTGACATAGTCAGGTACTAACTTCTGGAGGAAACAAAGAAATAGCACAGATTTTACTTGAAGATGTTCACAATTAAAAATAATTATGAAAACAACCATAAAATCTAGCTTCCAACCATTCTTTGCAGCCTATCAGCTTCACAGTAGTTTACGTTTTTGCTTAAGAAAATCTTTAAAAAGTAAGTGAAGAGAAAAATAAATTAGCAGGTCTGAAACTTAACCAGATTCAGGTTTCTCTCCCTTCCTCATGAATATTCCTAGAAATGAATCTTATGATTAAGCCAGGAGATTCGTAATCTAAATTATTCATCACTTAATTTTGTCTATGTTTAATATCCCTAGTGCTTAATGATCTTAGAAATAAAATTTCCATTTCTAGTTTCTGTAGTGACAAAATAGATATCACTAGCTACAAAACAAACAGAATTGCAGTACTGGAAGGTACCATTAAGCCAGTATGCCCAGCCTCTGGTCAATGCAGAAATTCAAATTATGAATCCTAAACAGATGGCTGCCTAGTATCTAGCCTCCACTTGAGCATCTCCATTGGGATAGGGAGTCCATTATTTCTCTTGCTGTCAAAGTACTATTATTATTAGGAAGTGTTTTTTTCCTAACTTAGAACCTACCTTTCTATAATTTAAATCATTACATCTTGCATCCTGGAATGATAAAGAATGGGTCCTCCTCTCCTTTGGTTTGACATGGAGATGATGTTATCCGTTCAGTCATATCTGACTCTTAGTGCTCCTAGGGGCCAGGTTTCTCCACATCTTCCAATCTTGTGTTACTTCTTTGAGTTTTTCTATGCTCTGGCTGGTGTCAGCTTTGATGGTGTCCAGCCACCATGTTCTTTGGCAGCCTGGTTTCCTTTTGCTGCTAACTCTTCCAAACATAATTGCTTTCTCCAGTGATTGGGTTGACAACTTTTCAAGAAATATATCATCTCTGAGTTTTATCATTTCAAGCTAAACATTC